CACAGAAGATTTTGTTTTGTCAAAAGGTTTTGTTTTACTTCCTGCCAGTTTCGTTCTTCAACCTAGCGACTGTGGAATCAGGTGGTGCTTACTGTTCTACGATTTCCAGCCTAGTTCTGAGCAGTGAAGAAGTTTTTGTATCACGCCACGGATCAGGTCTTCTGGTAGAACCATAGAAAATTTTTGATGATGAACTCTGACACACAGAAGACTCATAAATATTCAAAATTTCAATAACTTACGAGCACATGTGATAGTCCCTCACAAAGTGATCTGAACAAAACAGCTTCTGCCATGGCTGCTCTCCGGGCTCTTCTTACGCGAGCCAAGTGAAGTAGGGGGAGCAGAGGGCGCCACAGTGAGATAGTCACAGTGAGAAGAATCCCTCGTAACTTCGTTCAGAGAATCGTAGAGATTTGAGCTCAGCGTCGCAAGACGCGTGCATCGAACTACACCTCAAAACAAATGTTAGACTGACCAATTGGCCCTTCCTTGTGAGACCAGGTCAGCTCAAACACATCCTCAGTGGTTATCCGACTTTTGGGGGTTTTTACTGCCTCAAACGTATAGTAAAAATTTAAGTGAAAGTTTTGCACATTGAGGCATGAAGCCTGCATCTATGTACGAAGTGGCGAAAAACGTCGCAGCCTGTGGTAGCCGCCTAATCAACTAGTAACCCCTTTATATACTTTACTTCTACTTTTTATATGGGTTTTAATCCTACATCATGCCATATCCGCATTCAAAAATATGGTGTCAACTATTTCCACAACTAATGTTTATTGTTTCAGAGGGCTATGAGCTCTTTCTACTCGGGAAGTCAGGCTCTCTCGTTAGCTCTATTCTTCTCCGGGCTCGATGTCGCTGTCAACATATTTGGTTTGGCGTGGAACGGACAGGTATGGCAATTTGTTACTAACTGGCGTTTCTGGAAAAAGGCAAAGAAACATCCCACGGTTGAGCCCATCATTGCGAATTCGCTGGTGCCTGCGTCTCTCTCGTTTTCTTTGCTCTCTCGCCTCTTCGTCCAAATCCCCTTACCAGGAAAATCTTTCAGGACGTGGAGCGCCTTTTCAAAACGGTTCGTTACATGGTACGGGGCATGTACGTGGAGCGTATAGCTGGTGATATCTTTTGATCAGCCTTGGGAGTGCCAGAAAAGAGGCAGAAAATTTTCCTCGGAAAGTGTAACTTCCACGTTTTTAAGAAATCCAAGAACGTGGAACTATGATAAAAAAAATTGCAAAAATTGTCTTCAGTGAGGATCGATCCCACAAGCCCTGGTTTTCGCATTTTTTTTATCATTCCCACAGTCGCTCAGAAGAAGAAAAAATGATCCTAAGTTTTATGCTTCCTGCGCGTGTCTCTATACATGCAAAAATCCGCTTTGAAAAAGCCCTTAATGCCCCAAGAAAGGGCTTTCCTGGTTAGACTGCCTGTCTCATGACCTCGTTCGCCGCTTACAACGATGCTTTCATTTTCAAAGCCTTAAGTAATCTCTTTCTTTCTTTTCTTCACTGACTATTTATGCGCACCTCCACTTTCAGTTCATAGAGCAACAGTTGAACTAAATGATCCTAAAAAGTGCCATTAGGTCCCTTATGTAATGGATATGAAGCTACTAACACTGTTGCCTTCAGGTCCTTTTGTTATATGATTTCTTTTTGTTTTAGTACTTTACCATCGATAACATCAAGCACTGGTTCGACCTGCCAAACTACAAATTTACCACTAATCCGATCGATTTCCTCGTGAGCCCTTCCTATTTTACACAATATCTTTGAGAAAATCATAGTCATAAACCTCCAACTTTCAGGCCGTCGCACTTTTAAGGGATTGCGTATTGATCGGTGGAGGTTTAGCCGCATGGACTTCACCGAGTGGCTTCAGTGAAGTGGCTAAAAAAGCTGCGTACGTTTGATAACTCACCTTTCATTAGGTCGAAAGAAACTGTTATGTCGTCAAAAAGTTGGGTTTCGGATTCTGCCTTTCCAAGGAGGGGCGGACACTTGGGGCAATAGTTAGCGTGGATTACTGTGAGTCAGATTCGGAGGCGGACGAGGATCTGAGGTGGGTGGACCAATTCCCTTCTGCAGAAAAGAAACTAGGTGGCTATAACTTTTTCTAATCGACAATAACAAAGGAATGTGTATGTTGTCGAGGTTTTAGATGGGTGTTGGGTGCTGTGTCCAGAATGGAGCGTGGTCCGCTAGCAGTGCTACACAGCGCCAAGTTCGCTCTTGCTTGGAATGCGGAGCGCCGCGTTAGGCCTTGTTTCAGAGAGGCTGTGAGTAAAACGATTCCTTAGCACAGTATGTTGTTTCGGCTGTAATCCACGTTTTCACTGGGGCGCAAATTTGGGTCCTAGTGCCACTTGGTTGACGCCGTTCAAGGCACAGTTCAAGATCAGGCCCAGTCACCTATTCCATCCCTGACCTTAGTAGACGCCGCACAAGCATTGAGTCGGGCCCCTTCTGCAGCTTGAAGTTGCGCGACAAAGGCACTGGAAGCTTCTCGAGCCACAACCCACACCTTTGCCCGCAACCCGCTTTTCACTGTCGGCTGCCACGTGACGCTGCGAGAAAGGCGCGGGCGCAGTTGCGGGAGCGGTTGTACTGTGGTTCGTAGAAGGTCCTTATTGCGGAGGTATCCAGGGTTTCTCTTGCCCTCTTGTTCTTTTCCGAACCACTCCGTTCTTCCAGCTTCATTACAGAACGCTCTTACACACCCATGTTATCCCGGGACTTACCTTCATAGAACGCTCGTACCAGTGCTCCTGTTCGAGTGCGCGGCCCAGTGCAGCAGCGCACTCAGGGGCCAAAGTTGATTACGGTGGCTAAGTTAACGTGTAGAGAAACCACTGTTGTGGGGTTGCATGCAATCTTCCCCAGGGTGGATGCGTCCCTCTCCTCCGACACTATCCTAGCGCTGAGTGAGACAGTGTTGCGTCATGGGACCCGCCACACCGCTACGTTTCCACCCTATCGACAGTAAGACCAGTGTGACCCTTCAGAAAATAGAGTGCTTCAATAGGAAAGATTCCTACAGCACTTGCCGATTATTCGCAGGTCACCTGGCAGAACTTTTTCTTTCCCCCTCCCCCCTAAGACCG